TTGCAGTGTCTGGCCCTTAATGAATAATTCAGGAATATGGAGGAGACAATGTAAGAGTTAAGTGCTTAATCCAGCTCTAGGTGAAGTCAGCAAGACACTTTCCATTGACCCCAGTCCAGGATATGTTTCAGCAACGCTTAACTATGTGTGAGTTTGTAAATTGTCCCATTGATGGCAGTGAGCTACAACAACTGTCTGAATTAGCACCCAGCAGAATGTTATTTATGACCCTCTTGCCTGTCATACTGTCGTTAACCATCCTCTGCAGCACCTGGGGGAAGCTTTCTGAGGTCTCAGCACTGCTATTGAGTCATGCTTTCATGGTAATGAAAACCAGAAAATATTAATAACTGGAGTGCCACACCACTAACAGGAGGAAATACAGATACAAAAAGGTTGGCAAAGCAAGCTTCAAAGGCTTGATTTTGGTTGCTCAGAGCTGGGGATGGTGCCTTATTCTGCAAGAACAAGGCAACTGCCTGTGATACGGATTCCACCAGAACTGGACACTCAGCTCTTCACAGCTCAGGAGTCCAACTGTGCCTGTTCCTGCCAGTGCCTGAGTGTGATCCACCTTCATGGGGTGAATGTTCCCCAGGCACTGGAACTGCTCCTGGGGGACCTGCAGTGGTGGGGATGGCAGAGCAGCTGCGTCCTGCTGGTGGGAAGCAGAGGATGCTCTGCAACCACAGCTCTTGCTTTTTGTTGCAGGTCTGCAGTAACTGGGAATCCTGTCCTTCCAGCTGCTCCAGAGGGATTTACTTTCCCATAAAGGTACAGTTCAGCACCAGTCATTAGCAGTGCTGATTTCCTTTCATGATAGCAGCATCTGGAGGGAGGCAGAGCATCTCCTCTTTCTTGTTGTAACTCCGGAAGTATAAGAATTCCAGTGGAACCTGTGCCCTTGCTCTGAGCCTGTGGATCCTGATGGTGCCACAGGCTTTGCTTGCCCGTGGGGTGACAAGCACAGCCATGGCAGAGCAGGGCACCCCACACACAGGCTGTCTCCTGCACTGAAATTAGGGCTTCGCAGATGTCTGACCCTTTTTTCCTGTTTTTGAGTTATCTCTGCTTGCTGGGAGAAGAGGTTTGGGGAGCAAGGCTGGGATACTTTCCCTGCCATCTGCCTTAAGGCAGCAGGCTTGAAAGTTGGCACAGTTAATTCCTGATCTTTGCCAAGCTCTGTTAATAGAGAACAGCTCCTCCTGAATAGAAGGCAGTTCATGTAACATAAATAGTGGAGAAGGGGGAGAGGCCAATGTGTTTGCAGGGGGGGAAAGACATACTGGCAGTCGTCTGGTTCTTAAACTGCTGCTGGCCTTGACTCTCTGCTGCTTTATGGGGGGAGAGTCAGGGGTGAGCATCATTTTTTTGCCTGGACTCCAGGCTGTAGGTGCTGTTGCTCCTGGGGCCTGGTTCTCCAGCTGTAATCTCACTCAGTCACGGCAGGGAAGTCACTTTGGATTTGTTGCTGGGAATGTTAACCCGGGATCCACCTGCTGAGATAACTACACGGATGAGCTTGTTTGGGCTTCAGGGCATCCTGTCTGATGCTGCCACAGACTTTCTTCCCATCTCGTTTTTGCATAGCAGAAATTTCTTTGACTCCAACACGGGGGAGGGTTCTGGGAGATCTCTGAGCTCACTTGGCTGTCTGAGGTTGGGTAGCAAGACACAGAGTCTCTGTGTCACTGTTAACTGCAGTTGTAGGGTACCACTGCTGCTCCCCAAATGGCAACTAAAGCTGAACAACATTAGCTGTAGCTTGCTTGGTCTGTATTTAGCTTCTGTTAAAGTCAGCAAAAGTAATGGCTGAATTCCAGCAGAGCTGGAGCTAGACTGTGGAATCCTGCTTAATTCATTTGTGAACTTGCATATAATCCTATCTATTTCCCTAGAGGAACAGGGAATTGGATCTGATAGGTGTTTGCAAAGGGTTTATGCAGTTTCTCATATATGATGCACAAAGTGCTCTTTGCTCCTAAGGGGATGTGCTATATGTTGACTGGTTTCTTGGCTCTATGTTACACCCAGGAGCTGAGAATAAATTCCTTTTGAGTGCTTATTAAGGTCTGTGGAGACAATTTGGAAAAAACCTCCACAAAACAGCACCTAATCCTTTCTACTGCTTGGGGTACTGCTGAACACGCAGCACACTTGATTCCCTGAATCCAACCATTTCTCTTTGTTCCTCCTTTTAACAAGGCAAATGAATTCCTGCAGAAGACGGGGCTGCAAACTCAGGTTTGAACTAGAGCCCAACAGGGCATTTTAAATATGTCTGAGATGTTCCCAAAGCAACTCTGGCTCCTGCTTGTAAATCAAACCTGGCCAAATCCTCTGTCTTCATATTTCCACTGCTGCCTCTTTCCTTCCACCTCTCCCCTCGCACACCCTCCCACTTGCTCTCCAGTGAACAACTCAGGCAGCAGGTTTAATCTCCAGGCCAATTTTTATGGCTGAGTTGAAATGGGAAGGTGGGCAGTCCCACAAGAGCATGAAAGTGCCTCAATAAAACAGCAGGCTCTGTTTAAACTGAGGGTTGGGAGTCTGGACAATATAGACAACTGCTTGTTTTGAAAGTTAAACCTATTGTACTGCAAAGCTCGGGCCATGGAGAAAGCTGCTCCTTCTGGAGCTTCCTGCCAACAGCTGCCATTTCCAAACTCTGGGCATTGCAAGCTGTGCTTCTTCAGGACCCACAGAGCACCTGTCAGTGCCTTGGACTCACCCGAGTGTCAAATCCGTGGATGTGCTTCCAAACAGAGTGTCTCACAGCCTGATGTGTGTGCTGCAAGCCATTTCCTTCCACAGCCAAACTGAATTTTACTTGCAAGGCCATCCCTTCTCTTCCTCCCAATCCTAACCCCTGCATCTCAGTCCTGTCACTTCACACGGGGCTCTGACAGGCAGCGAGTGGCAGCTGAGTAGTGGTCTGGGCTGGTCTGGGCTGGTCTGGACTGGGCTGGGCTGGGCTGGGCTGGGCTGGGCTGGTCTGGGCTGGTCTGGGGTCCCTTTCACTGCTGTCACTGGTGTCTTGTGCACAGAGCGTGGCAGAAACGCTGCAGCGTCGTAGGCAGCTATAAAACATCAGCCTATGACAACTTAGAAACAAGATGTATCAGCAGGTAAATGTTTCATCCCCTGTGGCACCGCTTAAGCCAAAGAAAAGAATCTTCATTCCTGTAAATGTGCTGTGTGGAACCAGTTCCTTGGTGCAGGTTTCCTCGCAGTAACTGCAGAGTTCATAGCATGGGTTTGTGTGTAAGTGGCACAGGAAAGCAGCTGACCTTATTTAGATGCCAATAACAGAGAGCTCTACCGTGAGTAGCAGAGGCAGATTAGATTTGGATGACATTTCCTTTACAGACCTCTTGCAGTTTCTTGTATTTCTGGTGTGTTGTGGGGGAGGTCAGTCCTTCTGGATCCAAATCTTGGCACACACGCAGCTAAATTCATTCCTGCGTGTGCACCACCTGCCTACATGCCCTTCTATTCTGTTATGCTGCTGATTCTGGTACTGTTTGCATTTCCATTCCTCTGGCTGATTTGGGAAGTGCCTGCAGGGAGTCTGCTTCCTTACTCAGCCAACAGTCTGGTTTCCAGAGGGCCAGACACAGTTCCACGTCAGCATAGGGCAGTGGAGTGAGTCGCTTTGAAAATCAATTTACAAATGTCTGTGCAAAAATAGCCTGCATTTGCTTGTGGAGGGGAATCCCAGGAGGCTTTGGAACAAGGCATGTTGTGAAAGGATGGAAGACGGGGTTTCAGACTCCAGAATATGAGAGCAATTCAGAGCAGATGATGTGATTTGCCCCGGGAAAGCTGGAAAAACTAATAGTAGAGCCACAAACGTTTCCTTCTTTTTTTCGTGTGTTTTAACTGCAGGACTTGGTCCTAACAGTTAACACAAGTAGCATCTCAGCCTGTGAAGCCTGGCTGGAAGTGTGGGATGCAGTAAGGAACTGGGAACAATTGCCTGAAACGCTTTGATCCTTTGCCAGGTGGCAGTCCCTTGTCCCTTTGGGTTGGATGATTGCCACTCACGAGCTGAGCTCCTGCAGCTCCCATGGCTGTGAATCCCTGCACCTTCGGTGGCAGAGGAGCAACAGGGACAAGGGTGATCTCTGCCTCTTTCTGAACTGCTTCAGATCACAGACCTCTGGGTCTGTGCTGGGAGGGCGGAGAAGAAGGGAGAGAAGGGACATGGCTGCTGTCTCAGCTCAGGCCTGGTGGCCTAAACCTGCATCCTGGAGACAGGGCTGCACTGGCAGCTTCTGGGAGCTGCTGCCAGCAACATTTCACCCCCTTGCACAGGGACTAACAGGAACCAGCTCGAGGTGTCTCTTGTCTGTGCTGGGGAGCACCCTGGACTCTCCCTGAGACGAATGTGTCATTAAAGGCTGTTTGCTTATTCTGAGACCCTGCCCCCTCCTCTGCTAATGGTCTGCGGGCTGTGCTCATTGAGCTGTGGGCACATTTAATGTGAGTTTCTGCATGGCTGGTGCAGCTGGCAGTGAGCTTTAAGTCCTTGTACTGGCAGGGGATCTGCCGACAGACATTGAGGCAGCTTGTCTCCTCTCCACATCCTCCCCTTCCCCTCTGGAAGTTTTCCTTCTGTTCTGAATAACCTTGTGCTTGCCCAGGTCCTGCTCTGGAGCAGTGAGCCATGGCACTAGAGGCTCTTCAGCTTCTGGGTTTTTACACCTCTGCTTCCAGATTTCTCACTGATCCTGAGAAGATGAAATAGCAGTGCTAATTAATCCGATTCCAGAAGCAGCAGGTTTCCATGGGAGGAGGGCAGCTAGCTGCATCTGTGTCAGAGAGAGAGGAGTGTGGGAGGTAAGAAAGACATACCTGCTCAGATCCCACTTCTTAGGCTGCTGAGAGCCAGCCAGCTACAAGCTGCTTTGTGAGTCCCTCCTGATCCAGCAGTAAGATTTCCATGCATTCTCAGGAAAAAGAGGCCATGTCTGTGCCACAGACAAGCTCAGCTCAGTGTGTGGAGCTGGAATGGGTATTTCTGCTGCTCCCTCATTTAGGAGAGGGCTACAGCATCACCCACTCCTCTCTCCTGCTGGTGAGTGGAAAGCCCTGCTGAAGAACTGAGTGTGACTGAAATGCTGTGGGAGCTGTGTCCCCATCAGAGATTGCAGCCTTACAGCCTTCCTGTTGTGAATCTGGCATTTTCTGATGTCAGTAAATTATAGCAGTGAAAAAGCAAGACCTTTAGATCCATCAGAGTGATGCTGGGTAGCACCTGGAGCGAGGCACTGTGACCTGTGTGACTGACACATGTGCAGATGGGACTTTGTGCCTCTGCCTCCTCTTCCTGGAAGGTCAGAGCACCACGGGCAGAGCTGGCTGAATACAGACACTTCACCTGGAGCACTTGTAACGTGTTTTTTTAACCTTAATTGTACTTTTTTATGTTGGAGTGGCAAGAGGTGGAGACAAAACAGCTGCCTGTGTTTGGCAAGAAGGCCTGGCAGCACAGGCTGGCATTGCTGGGTTACTTTTCATATTGCTGCCCACAGAACCACAACCAGCAAAGAACCACAACTGCTGCCTGGGCTGCTGAGAAAGCAGCTCACGTGCACCATGGGGAAGAAATTGTCCTCCTCCTTCTCAGTGATGAACTGGCAGCTTATGGGGAGACTCTGGAGAGGGGCCTCAAGGAGAGTGTGTTTTGATCAGTCCCAGGAGCAGTGTGCACACAAACATGCTATTTTTGAGCTGCAGATGGAGGAGACAGCACAGCCAGCCCTTGTCTGTGTCCTTCCTCCTGCTCCAAGGAGCAGGTGTGGGGAGCAGAGCTGGAATCTGCATGGGAATCCTGCAGCTGAGCACAGAGTGGTACCAGTGCCCACAGTGACGTAAACTGGGGAGCCGGAGCACAGGGTGCAATAATAAAGGACTGGCAGGCACTGACAGCAGGACTTGGCTTTCCTTTTCAGGGTGACAGTGATGTGGGAAGCTGGAGTTTATCTATAAAAGAGCAGCACACAAGCCTTGGGGATGGCAGTTTATTCCATTCCTTGGGAACTGGTGATTCCTCTCCGTGGTCTGAGATTCCTTCCTGCAGTGATGCTCCTTGGAATAATAACACAAGGCCCCGGTTTGTGGCAGCCATCTGTATTTAATGATCTGCAAAGGCTTTGCTCTGAGCACTGCTGGGAATCCACACACCTTTAACAAGCGTGTTCCTTTGGGCCCCTGGCAGGTGGGATCCAGGGGGCTTTTGAAGTCGGTGTCAAGGCACCCAAAGGCACCCAGCCAACACTTTATTTAGCAACAGCAACTGGCTGGGGCTCAGACAAAATCTAAGTCATTTTTGTAGTGGTTAGGTAAGTCATGTCAGAAAGCATATCAGAGCCTCAGCATGCTTGTGTGCAGAAACCTGTAAGTGCCACATGCCTGAGTGACAGCAGAGCTTATCACCAGCACAAGCAAGTAACTTGAGTGGTGAACATGGCAGAGGGCTGCAAGGCATGTTTCGTGAGATTATAACCAAGAAGCTGTCTTCTGACACCTACAGTCATTAGCTACAATAACCAGGAGCAAATTATTTTATCAGGAAATTAATTTTCTTTGGCAGTGATGGGCGTGTTAGCGAAGTGCTCGTGCAGGTTTACCTCTGCAGCAATCCTGGGATGACAGGGCACTGAACATGCATGGTTTGATGCCAGCAAACCCCAGTGACCTTCCCCTTTGAAAAGTGCCAGTTTCAGTACTTTAAAGCAAGTATTTTGGGGCAATTTATTGTGTCCTTTTTGTAGCATAGATGGTGTGAAATTGGTTCTCATTGTGGAGGTTGGATGTCCCTCGCCAGCATAAAGGTTATGTTGCACAGTGATGGTTATGCTCGATGTTACAGCTTGAATTATGCTCACAGAACACAGTAGAGTTTGTGGTTCGGTGCACACAGCCCCCATCTTTGTCCCTCAAGAGATTTGGCACCTTGTGTGCCAAACTAGGCGCCCAAAATAAGTTCCTACTTCTTTCTTCTCATCCCCTGAGCTCCTGCATCTGTCAGACACAGAGTACACCACCCCCTCCTTCTCCGAGATGCTGGGAGAAGATTCAGTTCAGCCCTGTTTGTTCAGCCCTCAGACTCTGTCGTGACAGGCAGCATTGAAAAGCTCACGAGGAAATTAATAATTCTGCCTGTGAGCCAGGCACGAGCGGCGTGCAGGAAATGAGGCATGAGACCACAGGCTGAATGATGAGCAGAGAACAGGGGAGCCAATTGCTGCTGGCTTTGGGGAGCATCATCCCCTGCATGCACTGGTGGAGGCCAGAGTCCTTGCCTTGGACATCGGGCTTGGAAGCAGAACTGCACTGCAAAGCATTTACAGAAGGGGGACAAATCAAGGATGCTGTGCCGGCCCTGAATCTGGCATTTCCTGACTGGTGAGTGCTTGACTTTGCAGCTAATCTTTCCACACTGTTTTTGGCATGCAATTATGAGTAGATCTAATCAGTGTTTGTCAGAGTCTGGAATAGCAGGCAGGTGCAGGCAGGAGATCCTCGATGTCACAGGCTGAGAGTGCTCCAAGCACTTTGCCCCATCTGAAAGCTGGTCAAGAGACAGTAGAATGATTTAGGTTGGAAAAGACCTTTAAGGCCATTAAGTCTGACTGGTTCCTTCTGTTTCCAGCTGCTTTTATCTTAACCAGGGTGTAAAAGTGCCTGCAGGGGGGAAGAGGGGTGAGACAGTCAGCAGTGGAAGAGGACACCTCAGTTAGAAGTGTGTGTGCAGGTCCTTGATTTCATAAAGCTTGGGAGATCAGATAATCCTCCATCCTCTGTACAACCCTATATTGTCTTGCTTCCTGTGGGCAAGTGGAATTACAGACTGTAGAGCTTTAAATATATACCTTTTAAATTGTTTTGTTGAACTTCTCCCCCAGCAAACACATATTTATATCATTACACTGTAATTCCAAGAGCACTGTGCCACTGGAGCATTCTGATGTCATTCTGATCTGCAAAGTGCCTGAGGTCTGGTAGTGTTTTTGTGCATCTTACCAAAGGATTTAAAGCAAGTGGAGAGGGAAATGCAAAGCATACAGAAAGAAAATAGATTAAACCCTTGTTGCTGTGTTGTGCTTGCAGCTGGAAAAGTGAACCTGCTTAACTAATAAAGGTGGAGCCAGCCCAGCCAGCAGATCAAACCAGTGCCTTTGAGCAGCATGTGCATCTCTGGGCTTGTATCCCACTGAAACAGGTTCTGGGTTTTATCCTCAGGCACAGGTTCTGGTTCATGGCTGAATTAAACCAATGTTTTGAGGAGTATTTTAGGAGATTCTGGCTCAGGTGTCCAGGGCCTGCTTTGCTTTTCCAGGAGTGCAACACCTCTGGAAGTCAGACATCCAATTAGAGGAAAATCATATCTAATTCTCCTTTCTGTTTCATTTTCCCAGTCATGAAAGGCAGTCTGCCCTGGGAAAGGGCAACACTCCATGCACGTTGTGCAGTTACAGCTGTATTGATAAAGGGAGAGCAGGGACCTGAGAAGGCCCTTTCTGGTTGTGTTTTAAAATTATACTTCTAGATTAGTCTTAGTGTTTTAAGTGCAGAGCAAGACTCTGATGCTGAGCCTTGCTGTCCCTGTGGAATCCTGCTTTAGTGTGGGTACATTAATGATGCCCTCCAGTTGTTCCACACAGCCAGAGCTGTGTCCAGTGTCCCCCAGCACTGCAGGGCCTGGGAGGCACCAGCAACTCTGAATGGACACACAGAAGTGGCTTTTGGCAGGACCTGGATGCTTTCAGGGTGATTTGGAAGCACAAAGGCCACTTCTCTCCCTCTCAGCAGAACTTTATGTAGTGAACAAAGGGACCTAAAGCTGCCTTTGGTAGAAACTCCAGGAGTTTTCAGGAATACAAATAGGACCACAAAACCACTCTGCTCTGAAAGCTCTGCCCATGGGAGAAACCAGTGTGAAGTTTAATTATTTTGTCGATGAGAATCTCTCATATTATAGAAATTGTCTTTCCTTCCCCTTCTAGCCTGGTGCTTTCTTTCCTTTTTTCTTTCTGGCTCGCTGATGCACGAGGCCCCCTTTCTCCCCGAAGAAGGAACAACTGAGTAATTGAAATGGAACACTAGTGAGGATTTTTTAATCTGAAAGTCAGCATTAATTAGTCAGGTCGGTTGTAATTAGCTTCCTCATCTGTCACTGCCTCTCTCCAACTTGCCAACGACTTTCTTCTATCCTAGATGTCACTGAAAAAGAACTGTCTTGTGGGAGCTGCTTGGGTGTTTTTCCTGGTTGAGGTGCAAGTGAGTGACCGTCCCTGTGGGGCTGTTGGGGCTTGAGCTGGGTTGTGTATGGAGGAAACCTGTTTGCTTTGTAAAAGGCAGAGGGAAGCCCAAGAAATCCGAATGCTTACCTCCTAACCAGCTGAATCAGCGCCTCTTCTCTAAAGAGATGGATCCAGGGCTCCTAGGAGTGCTCTTATCCTCTGCTCCTTTCATGCTGGCACAGGCTAAGCTTGCTCAGAGGCGAGGCAGGGCTGCAGGATTAAGTCCACTGCATATCCGGGAGTTGAAAAAGTAACTGGGCCACGATTCAGTGCTGGGAGTGCCTGGATAGTATGGGAGGTGGTGGAGGGAAAACAGGCCAAGCCCTCAAATACAATTCAAGCAGAAAAAATGCACTTCAATCCCCTTCTGGCTGATTTCAGGGTTTATCTCTGCTGCCGATTCCGTTTGCTGTGTTTTGGGTTGGATGAGCTTTCATCCTGACCCAGGCAGGATCTGAGGAAGGCAGCAAAGCCAGACGAGTCCCAAGGGCAGTACCAAGTGTGCTGTGTTTGGCTTAGGAGCCGAATCATGTGGTAAAGCCCCATGAAGGGGGTTCAGAGCTGTGGATTCAGGCACACACACACCCCACGAGCAGAGGGAGGCTTCACTGCCAGGGACAGTGCAGCCCAGGTGCCTCCTGTCCTGCCCTTGCCTCTCTCCCAGACCAAATCTTGATCCTTCCCTGACTCAGTTCTCATGTGTTTATAGTCTTGGGGCTTTCCCAGCATTTGCTGTGCTGGGTTTACACCAGTGTCAGAGTTTGTACCAGTCTGCAGCCAGAGGGTGACACAGATTGGTCATCAGACATTGTAGGTGCCCATCTGTTATACTGCAGTCCCTGGGAGAGTGGATGGAAGAGCCAGAGGGAGATGCCTGAGGTCTAATCCCATCCTTGAGTTGAGGATTTAGCTCTTGGTTAAGAAAGAAGAGGGTGTGATCCCTTTTCTGCCTTATTATTATCTCGCTAGCTCTCATTTCCCTTTCTTGTCACGTGCAGGCTCTTCTGTCTCAGGATTAGAATCTTTTCCCTCTTTCTCCTCAGTAGCTCAATAAATGGGAAATTATTATGGCTCTTTACCTCTCTTTCTAAAGAGAGAACACGTGCACTTGTTCAGGTCTCGCAGTAACTCTGTTCTGTTGAAGGAGAGCCCAGGCCAGCGAGACAAAGGGCAGGAGTGGAGGGGGGGTAACTGCAGGTGCTCACCAACCTGCCCAGGTGGGATGAGTGAGGTTTGCACCTGCCTGTGTTCATGCAGCACCACCTGCACTAATGTGGGCTGAGGCTGTAGCTTGGCTGTCCCTCAGAGGCTGAAGGGTGACAGTACCTGTCAGCCGAGCGATGGATGGGGGTCACACACAGGCCAAGGGTGTGCTGAGGGTGCCTGACTGCAAAGGTGAGCAGTTTTGGGCGACTTGTGAGCTGTGGCTGACATGCTAGCAGGCTATGGACACATCTTGGGTAGGACTATGGCTGTGTTTGGGAGTGTAGAGTGTGAGAGAGAAGGCAGGACTGCCTTAAGAAGCAAATGGGAGAGGATTTATTTGCACATTCAGGGACCTGGGAAAGCTTCCTCCCTGTCATGACACAAGTAAGAGCACGTGGGTCTGTGTGCCCACACAGCTGAGCAGCACCTGCAGGCCAGTGCCTGTCCTGGGCACCACCATTCGTGTGCTCTTGGCTCTGCCCCAGTGCCCAGGGCTCACACAGTGATCCAGGGATCTTCAGGGAAACTTTCAGACACTCCCTGGCTGTTTAGGATTATGCCTCCTGAATATTAAAGAAATCTCAGTGGAACCCAAAACCAGATAGATTTCTCCTGACCTTTCCAGAGCCTTGAAATGATCCCCCTTTGCCTTATTCTTGCTGTCTAACAGCCCTGCATGTGAGGGGGGAAACAGCACAGCAGGGTTTTGTGAGCCATCCTCTCCTCACCCTATTTCTTAGCCTGCTGAGCGTTGGAGGCCTGGCAGGAGAGGGGCTGTGGCCCTGTGCCAGCAGTGGTGCCCGTCTGTTTTGGCACTGTGGGGTGGCAGAGCAGGAGAGCTGTGCCCTCCTGCACAGCTCCGCAGCCTGGCCGGGGTGGGTGAGCCACTGCACGAGAGGGGCTGGGAGAGCCCCTGCCCTCACTCTGACAGGAGGGGTGGGATGTTTTGGGACAGGAGCAGCTGCAGATTAAATTCACCGATGTGTGGACAGGAACAGGGGGGCTGGAGCTCAGAGGTTCCCTGTTCTCCACAGGCTCTGTGGTGCTGGGAGCACTCTGCTGTCCAGACCAGACTGAATCCCATGGGAGCTGCTGGAGCCCCCATGAACTCTCTGTGAGCAAAGCCACTGGCATTGCCCAGGCTGAGCAGAGCCAGGGGGATTGCTGTGACCCTTGCTCCTTTGCACAGCCCTCTCCTGCCAGGGGGCATTTCTGCCCCATTGCTTTTCCTCTTCATGCAGCTCCCAGGTCTTCTGAGGACCTACAGTTAAGAGGTGCAAGGAATTTATCTTCCTACTGATATAAAGCCTGTTAAAATAAAAACACTGGTTAGGATCAAAGCTTGTAAATTGTTTCTGGCCTGTGTGTAAATTGCTTTCAACTCCCAGGGTCAGGTAACAAAGTGAACCTGTTCATTCATTCATGCAGTGAGTGGGGACTGCTGGCTTTGCTGCCCAGGGCTGGGAAAGGAAGGGACACTTACAGGGTCTGGGCTTTGCTCTCAGGGACCACCACTTGTGGATCCTTGGCTTGGGAGGCTTCCCTGAGACACCCAGGGAAAGTCTGGGAACCTGTGTGTGCTGGCAAGCCCCTGCAAAGGTGAGCACCTCCCAGGGATTATCCCTTTCTTTCCTGCCCAAGTGATCAGGGAGAGTTTCCTCCTGCATTCCATGGGAGCAGTAACTGCTCTTGCTTCCTGGTTATTCCATAGGAACAGGGAAAACACACTCCACGAATAATATCCCACAGGGGTGGAAAGGAAAGCAGGGGTGTTCAGCCCTTTCCCTTCCCACCCTGGAGGTGGATATCCCTTGAGGGACTGGAGCAGGGTCACAGCGAGTTCAGGGGGGGTTCAGTCTGTGCATATGTGTGTGGGTGCCTGTACTTCTGGCTCTGGGTGCACACACATGCACACCTTGTGGGAAAGATGAATACAGCTATAAATAGTTGGGGAAAACCTATTGTCTGTTTTAAGGAGAGGAAGATACACTCCCTTGCATTTTTTATCTGATAGCATGAACCATTCCTGGGTGTGAGAACCAGGTTAGCTAATTAAATGTTCCTGCTGCTGCAGTCAGAGCAGCACAATGTGAATCCCTGCAATCTCTGTGCCTGGCGTTCCTGGAGCCCTGCAGAGCCCTGCAGAGCCCTCCACTGCCTCAGCACTGAGCTCTGGGACTGTTGTTTGAACTTCTGCCTCTCTGGTTCCTCTGCCCAGCAGGGTGTGGGACACCCCCTGGCAAGGCTGCTTTTTCAGCAGCTGTAGCCAGCCTGTGGGGTTTGGAAGGAGGGATGCTTTGCTCCTGAGGGAGCTGGAATGTGCCTCCCTCCCAGCTCTGCTGCTGGGACCCTTGGGCAGCTGCTGTGGGTTCATGGCTGTGCCTGGGCCTTGCTGACTGCTTTTCTCTGCCCCTGTGTGCAGGTGCTGGACATGGACACAGAGGATGACCCCTTGTTGCAGGACGCCTGGCTGGAGGAGGAGGATGAAGAGGTGACCTTCAGCTCCTGCAAGAGGCGAGAGGGTGCTGTGTTGTGTGGGAAAAGCCCGTGCAGGGTCAGGCCCCTGCGTGTCACCCTGCCCGTGTCTGGCTTCTGGAATATTGTTGGCTGGGTGTTTACCAACCCGTACTGCGCTGGCTTCATCCTTTTCCTGGGCTGTGCCATCCCTGCTGTGCTGGCTGTTGTCATGTTCCTGCACTACCCGGCCCTGGATATCGACATCTCCTACAACGCCTTCGAGATCCGCAACCACGAGTCCTCGCAGCGCTTCGACGCTCTCGCCCTGGCCCTCAAATCCCAGTTTGGGTCCTGGGGCAGGAACCGCCGGGACCTGGCTGACTTCACCTCCGAGACCCTGCAGAGACTCATCTTCGAGCAGCTCCAGCAGCTTCACCTCAACGCCTCCCACCTTGGGGTCAGCGCGCGGGTCAGGCGCAGTCCCCCCGAGGGCAGGACGAGCTCCCCCGAGCCCCGTGTCCACCCCAGCCCGGGGAACAGGACGTCCCGGGTCGGGAGGGGAGCCCCACGCTGGGACTACTCCAGCACGTACATCAGTGCCAACACGCAGGCTCACGCCCACTGGCGCATCGAGCTCATCTTCCTGGCGCGGGGGGACTCGGAGAACAACATCTTCACCACCGAGCGCCTGGTCACCATCCACGAGGTCGAGCGCAAGATCATGGACCACCCTCGCTTCCGGGAGTTCTGCTGGAAGCCCCATGAGGTCCTGAAGGACCTGCCCCTGGGCTCCTACTCCTACTGCTCCCCTCCCAGCTCCCTCATGACCTACTTCTTCCCCACTGAGAGAGGAGGGAAGATTTACTATGATGGCATGGGACAAGACCTTGCTGACATCCAAGGTGAGCTGAGGGCCGTGGGCGAGGGCTGGTGTGGTCAAGGAAAGGACCTCCTCAAGTTCAGGCAGTCCCTGGTGTGCAGCTGAGAGGGGTGAGACTGCCTCCTACAGAGAGGAAGAGCCTGCTGGGCTGTGCCTTGAGGAATTGTCTTTTCTGTACTGGGGCCCCTTTCCAACCCTTTCATCAACTCCAATCACTGGTCACACGGGCCCCCCCAGCTGAGCGAGAGGGACAAGTGAGGGGCATGGTACAGGCCTCTTCTACTGACCCTTGTCCCCTGTGAATGGCTGTGGGTAACTAGAGCAATGTCAGGGCTTGGACAGACAATAGGGATGAGCCCCCCTGCACCACAGAGCAGATGAAAGAGGTCTGTGGGCTGCTCTGGAGCTTGAAAGGCAGCTTGTGAGTCACCAGCTGGAAAGTCTCCTATAAGGAGAGGAGGAGGAAGGGCCTGCCTCCTCCTCCCAGCTCTGTACCCTGTTCTGTGCACCTCTAGCAGAGCAGAGGCTCTGGATGGTGCAAAAGAGGTGACTCATGAGGAGTCTGTGGGTGTGATGTGGCTGTGGGATGGAACCTCCATCTGTCTCCCAAGCCAGGCTCAGCTGAGAGTTGTCCAGGAGCCATACAGGGAGCAGGGAAAGAATTAACTCCATCTGCTCCAGTGTGAGTAATACTGTTACCAAAACAGGAAAGAGCATAGTTTCTGGGTCTTTATGGTGTGAACTCAAGGAAACTGGATTTTGGGGGTAGACAGACAGTGCCTCTTACTCAGAACTGGCTGAGTGCTTCCATCTCTACATCCCTCACACCATCAGATGGCAGAGGTACCATGTCAGAGCAGAGCCAGGACTTCTCCTCTTCCCTGGGCATTGTTTAGTTCTTGTGCTTCCCAGTGTGATGGAGCAAATATTGTCCCAGTGTAGAGGGAGGAAGTGCATCCAGCAGCGGGAGTGAGGATGGGGATGTTGTGTGCATTGCTGGCTGAGGGAGCTGTGGTTCAGGTCAGTCAGGTGGAAGATGTCCCTGATGGGGGAACTGCGTGTAGGCAGCATCAGAAGCAGTCACAAAGCAGAAGTAGAAGGTGAGTCTTTGCAATCCAGCTTTCCCCCAGCTCTCCTTGCTCTCTGCAAGGCAGCAGCAGTCAGCATCCCTCTGATGAAGAACAGGATCACTCCTAATTTCCCTTTGTCAGACCAGATCCCGTGCCTTGCTAAAACGATCAATCAGGGTCTAAAAAAGGTGGTGCTGCCTTGTCCTGCAGGGTCCCTGGAGCTGGCCATGACCCACCCTGAGTTCTACTGGTATGTGGATGAGGGCTTGTCTGCTGAGAACATGAAGAGCTCCCTGCTGAGGAGCGAAATCCTCTTTGGGGCACCCCTGCCCAACTACTACTCGGTGGAGGATCGCTGGGAGGAGCAGCGCCGCAAGTTCCAGAACTTCGTCATCACCTACGTGGCCATGCTGGCCAAGCAGTCCACGAGGTGAGGGTGTGTGCAGGCAGGGCAGGTGCCTGGCTGGGAGCAGGGAAGGGCAGAGGGTGGAACCAGGCCTCTGAGGGTGTAAAAGCTCTGCCTGAAGGTTCACACAGGGCAGATGTGTCTGTTCCGCTCCGACAGCCCTGTTCTGTTCAGCCTCACTGGGAGGGCACCAGGCACAGAAGGCTTGGCATGCCAGCTCAGACTGCTGGTCAGCCTTGGACAGTGGCCATGGCATAAAGCTCCAGAAGAGGAGAAAAAGCATCTCCTTTGAAGCTGGGCTCATGCATGGAACTGTGAATGAGGGTGGGGAGCATATGGCAGAAACCCACTGCTTCCCTTTGATGCCACTTCTGAGGCAGCAACATTCCAGAGACACCAGCAGAGACAATGAAAAGGGACTGAAGGTTAAAACCAGTGCCTGCTCTTCCACTGAGCCCTTGTCTGGCATTGGATCTCTTTGCCTCCACCTCACAAATCCAGTGCCACTGGCTCAAACAGAGCTACCTTCCTGCTCTGAATTTGTCCCCAGCTGTTCTGATGCAGGAGGTGAAATGGTCTTTATGCAGGTCATCAACCTGCAGGTCCAATTCTGCTTTTGCTTTTTGTGCAGAGGGATAGGGAGGGGAGTTTCAGGGCAGGATAAGTTTCAGGAAATGCAGACTTTTTCCACCACCAGGTCTGTATGACTTTGTTGAATAGAGCTTTACTCAATGCCTGTGAGAGAGAGATGGTAAAACAGAGCTACAAGAGCACCTCAGTACCCAGACAGCTGAGGGAAGGCAGTGAGTACCAGTGTTTGTACCTTCTTAGGCTCCAGCTCTACTGCTCTGAGTCTCAGTAGCTCCCAGAATGAAGGGATACTGATCCTCAAAAGCAGTTTGGAATGCAGGCAGCCCCTGTCAGCCCTGAGAACAGGCAGCCACAGAGCACTCTCAGATATGGGCTGGCAGAGCAGGTTGTGGTTATGAGAACCCGAAAGGGAATTGGGGCCAAGGCTCAGTTCTGAGGCTCAGACCCCCGATAGTCTCCTATGGTGCAGCATTATTGTACTCCTGGCTAAATTATCTCAGATTACTTCTGCTCAGAGCCCACTTCCAGAGGCAGAAGCTGGTAAATCATATGGTTTCTGATAAGCTCTCACTCTGCCTGCATCCGCTGTGCTAATATAATAAGCAATGATTAGGATTCCAGATGGAATTGGCTTCGGAGGCTTCAAGAGCTATTATTGCCAAAGACCCACCATGCACTGGAGGAATTTTTAAAATATTAGACCTGCTCTTTATTTTTCTCCCTTCTTGTGTGAACTTCACCTCCAGCAGCAACCTCATTCAACCTGATCTCGCCACTCAGAGCAGTTTCCTCAGAGAACTGCCAGGTTATTAGAGCAGTGACCTCCTTTGGCTCTGGAGGAGACACTGTGCTTTAAATCACCTGTCTCTGCTCCTTTTGCACTCAGCTCTGCCTATTCCTCTTCTTTCCTGTCTTCCCACCCTAGCAAGGTCCAGGTACTGTACGGAGGGACGGATTTGTTTGACTATGAGGTGAGGAGGACTTTCAACAACGACATGTTGCTGGCCTTCATCAGCAGTAGCTGCATAGCTGTCTTGGTCTACATCCTCACCTCCTGCTCAGGTAGGCTGTGGTCACAGCTGCCCTGCTCTCACACAAATCCAAATGTGCTGTGATTCCCCCTGCCTGAGCCCTGGGAGAGGCTCTGATGCCCTGGCACCAGCCTGGCTGTGTGGCACAGCAGCGTGCAAGAAGGGCACACAAGTCTTATTCTCCAGAGATATGTGGGCAGGGTGAGGGGAAGGCTCTCAGGAAATCAAAAATAAGATGCAAATTCCCATCTTGCTAACACTGGTGTAAATCTGATATCATTTCATGGATGGGCCTCATGGGAAGGAGTCTGCAAGCAGTATTCTTGCAGCCTGAGCTATTCTCTCTCACCAACACTTTCATGGGGGTATTCCAACAGGGCAGATGGGGGGTGTCTGTTCTCCTGGGAGTGGCCAGAGATACTATTTTTTCCATGTTTCTTTTCTGCTGTAGTGTTCCTGTCATTCTTTGGCATCGCCAGCATCGGACTGAGCTGCCTGGTGGCTCTGTTCCTGTACCACGTCGTATTTGGGATCCAGTACCTGGGTATACTCAATGGTGTGGCTGCCTTTGTCATTGTGGGGATTGGTAAGCACGTCTTTTCTCAAAGCCTCCCTGTGCTGCCTTGCCCCAGCTCCTGCCTGCGGGGGAGAGGAAGGTGATGGTGGCAAACTCAAATTGAATTTCCAGGCCTTTTCCCTCCATTACCTCCAAGTGTAATATCTGCAGGTCAAATGTCGAGGGGGAAATGAGATGTTTAGCATGTGTCACCACTGTGGGAGTGAAGTATCAGCAGCTCTGCCCTGTTTTTCCAGGGGTTGACGATGTCTTTGTTTTCATCAACACCTACCGCCAAGCCACCCACCTCAAGGACCTGCGGCTGCGCATGATCCACACGATCCAGACAGCAGGGAAGGCCACCTTCTTCACCTCCCTCACCACAGCTGCAGCGTATGCTGCCAACATCTTCTCTCAGGTACCCTGCACCCGTGGGATTTGGGGTTTTCCATGTCTGCCAGAGGGCCTAAGACAGTGGGGACCTGCCAGCACCATCTGTCCTCTCCTCCAGCGCAGGGGGATCCTGACCTGCTTACCCTGCAGGGCTGTCCCCACCTGTTGTAAGGCACTGGACACTCTCCCTGTATCAGCATTCAAGACAATATTTCCTGTGCCACTGGCCAAACAGGATCCAGTGGTTTTCAGGCTCTGTCTCAGTGCTTTACCTACCAGGCTTGCTGACGACCATGGCTGAGGTCAGCGTGTGCTGCTCTCAGGTTCCTCCAGACATTTGTTTCTTGCCTGCTGTCTTTCCAGCTCTCCTGCCCCAGTTGATCCCAACTCCATGTTCTCTCTCTTCCTGTAGATCCCAGCTGTGCATGACTTCGGGCTCTTCATGTCACTGATTGTGTCCTGCTGCTGGGTAGCTGTGCTCTTCACCATGCCAGCTGCTCTTGGAATATGGACCCTTTATGTGTCCCCACTGGAGAGCTCCTGCCAAACCAGGTGAGCCCTGCAGCCTGTGGAACTCAAGGCAGCGTGCAAATTCCTGCCCTATCATCTCAGTTATCTTCAGTCCCCTCAGGCAGCTTGACTTTCCCTCTGTCAAAAGGGAAATTTAAATTCTGCCATTCCAGATTGGAGCAAAATGGAAGCATTAGGTCCTAGTCTCATAGCCTGGGTCTCACTAATCTCCCCTGGCATGTGCATAGGTGCCTCCCAAGATCCAGACTCTGCAGTGCCAGTCAATCCTCTGGGTTGAATCCCATGGGGTTTTGGAGCCATTTGTGTCCTCAGAGCACTTAATGCACAGCTAAACCTCCAAGCTGTGGAGACACAAGCCCTGCAAGACAGACAGGTCACCACTGCTCCTGCCTGTGAGCACAAGCAGGACATGCAGATTTGTGTTTGAAGCCAGTACATTTCCCCCTCCCCTGCTCTTTAGCCCTGCAGATGACCTGACCTGATTTAATTCATTAGCAGGGAGATGAACTCCTGAAATTCCTGTCACTCAGCACCCAGTGGCCACAGCTCAGCCCTGCTCTGTGCATCCAGCCCAGCCCTGACCTCTCAGCACTTAGCAATGGAAATTGCTCATGGCAGTGCCTGTTGTCTTTCCAAGTAATTGGAGCAGGCTGTTGCTGCTCTCCTTGTCACTGAAGGAGCCCACTGGGAACTCTTTGCAGGGTATGTGCCTTAAAACTCTTGCCTCTGTCTCCTTTCCTGCTCCAATCCAGCTGTAGTCAGAAGTGCACCAAAAAGAGAGCCTTGCACCTGGCTGAAGATCTCTTCATTGCCCCAGAGGCCACCCCCAGGGCAGGCAGAGAGACCCTTCCCTACCTTGACGATGACATCCCACTGCTCAGCGTGGAGGAGGAGCCTGGTACGTGCCTGTGGTGTGGTGCCTTCAGGGGGACCACACTGCCCTGTTCATCCTGTTCTCCCTGGCCCTGGTCCTTGCCTCAGTTCTCCTAATTGTGAGTTGGAGATGGTGCTGGCACAGGGGGTTGTAGGAGTCAGAACTCACTCACAGTTATAAAGTTGCTTTGAGATCTTCAGAGGGTGTCAATACAATGTTTTCTAACTACCTTGCTAATTCTCCTGGGGCCAATGTGATCTGCTTCCTGGGAGCTCTGACTGTGCCATGGATGAAGCCATAGCACCTTATCCATAGCACCAGGACAGCTCACCTTTGAGCAGAGCTTTCCTCTCTTCCCTGCCATTTGGAGCACTGCATTTGGGAAGCAGGAGAGAGAACACTTGGTTGTTCTCTGGCATCACCTCTCCAGAGCAGCTCCTCTGTCACAGCACGAAAAGGGCAGTGACTTGCCTGAGACCACATAAACAATCTAGAAAAAAAGCCCAGAAATTCCCTATCTGTTGTTGGCAGGAGATAATCCTTCTAGCCCTGATCTGAAGATAAAGGTGCTTACAGGGTCATGCTTTCTTGTATTTGGCTTTTAAAACTTGCTGGAAACGCTTCCTTTTAAAATCCCCAATGGCAATGGTGTGGGCAGTGAGTGACTTTCAGGCCTGGGAGCAAACTGGAGCTGGAGGCAAATGGATCAATGCCACAGCACAGGCAGACCCTGGCTGCAGAGGGGGCTCTGAGCTGCCTGTGACAGGCAGCAGAGAAGCTCTGGCTCTGTGCTGCAAGAGCTCTCCTCAGTATGCCAGAGCCACATGCACTGGTGATGTATGGAAATAAGCCCTCCCAGCAGGATCCTTTCCTCCAGGGCCCCTGGCATCAGGTAATTCATGAAGAAGCAAAGCAGCTTGTTCCAGTCAGTGCCCAAGTGTGGTTTGTGGGGCAGCTGTACAGAGTGCCAGGCTTGGTCCCACCACAGCCAGTGCCCACTTCTCACATGTAGAGAAGAAGGCAGTTCCCTTGGCATCCCTGAGCTGGAGAGAAGAGATCAGAGAGGAGCCAGGCTGCAGTCAGGAAGAGGTCAGCTGTGTGTAATTAGCAGTAAGACATATTTAGTGGGACAGGGACAAATTCTGTTTGGCCCAAGCAGCATACAGTGTCCCTGTGACCTTATGGACAATGTCTGTGGGATCTGGCAGAGGAGGAACAGCCTGAAGCATAGATTTGGACTGAGCTATGGTTTCAAAACTGTAGCTGTCACACGGCAGTGACTTGACAAAGAAGCTTCCTGTGACATCCTGGAAGTCACTGCCTCTGCCTGGGTCTTACTCCATCTTTAGCTTGAGTTGTACAGCACCTTGCAGAAGATTTGGTAAAGGAGAGCAGAGAGCTCTGAGAGACACTCATGACACTGAGACTGCCTTTGATTTCTCTTGTAGTCTCGCTGGAAATGGGGGATGTCCCCTTGGTGTCTGTGATGCCAGAAAATCTGCAGCTCCCTGCAGAGAAGAGCAACCGGGGGCACTTGATAACCCGCCTGCAGGAGCTGCTGGAACACTGGGTGCTGTGGTCTGCAGTGAAGAGCAGATGGGTGATTGTGGGTAAGGAAGGAGGGCTGGTGTTCCATCTGCATGGAATTTAGAGGGTTTGACTGCATCTCAGTCAGTCCCCAAGCCTTGATTATTAGTGACAAGAGATGGGAAAAGGGACATGGTAAATGGCTTCTATCATAGTGGAAGAGTGTTCCCAGAACAGTCAGTCCTTAAGGGAACTTCATTAGGAACTTTTCCATCCCTTTCCTTTCACTCAGATCTAAAATGGCAAGCCCTGATGGGGTTTTCCAGGCATAGGGCTCATTACAAGAAAGCCCAGCTGCCAGTGTGCTTTAGAGGTTGTTCTTTTTCCAGCTGAAAACACCATCTTTCCACTACATGCCTGCTCTCTGAGTATGTCTTAAGTGCAAGGTGCATGTAGGGTCCCACACACTCACCTGGGCTTCTCCTTGCAGGGCTCTTCCTCCTTGTTTTGCTCCTGTCCATATTCTTTGCCAGCCGCCTCCATCCCGCCAGCCGTGCTCCAGTCTTGTTCCGGCCTGACACCAACATCCAGGTGCTGCTGGACCTGAAATACAACCTGAGTGCCGAAGGCATCTCCTGCATTACCTGCTCAGGTGAGAGTGCTGCTCCCCAGACCATGGTGGGTGCAGCCCAGCCTACACCCTGGGCTGGGGGAGCTGAGGCAGAGGCCTACGGTGTTCAGATATCTCACTGGATGGACCCTGCTGAAGGGAGGTACACCTTGGGAGTGGGATGGTTGAGTTGCCTGTACGAGTGGAGTATTTTGAATAGTATTTCTTGCTTTAGCCAGGAACTGTCTGAGTGTTTCTGCTGGAGCAATTCCCTCATAGTCCACGAAAACTGACTACTTTTATTCATAAGTGCTGCTCTCATGTCAGTGCCCAGCTGGGGCTCTGTGTTGCCTTCTCAGGGTCTGGAGTTCAGCAGCAGTGTGTGTGGTGTGCACAGGGCTGGTAGGTCTCTTGTGCCCTTCACTCTTTCCTCCCTGACTAACCTTGTGGGACAGGTTTGTTTCAGGAAAAGCCCCACAGTTTGCAGAACAACATCCGAACCTCCTTGGAAAAAAAGAAGAGGGGCTCAGGGTCACCCTGGGGAAGCAAAGGCAGCATAAGTGATACAGGGCAGCAAGGTGAGTGGGGCATGATGACTGACTACTTTGGGGCCAGGGCCCAAGGATCCACTTGGGTAGAAACTAAACCATATGCTCACTGAATAGCTGATGGGGAATAGTTCTCCTCAGAGCCTGCCCCACTGAGCCCTAGTGCTGAATATAAAGGGTGTCTTTACAATCCCACTTCCCCTGAATGCCTCCTGCTCTCCAGGACAGGGTCCTGTAACCCAGGTGGCAGTACAGCCTAGTGACAGATCCCTCTGATCTGAGTACAGGGCTGGGAACTCCAAGCTTTTGCATCCTGGGCCTGTGTCACAACCTTGTTGGCAGGTTGCAAGGAGAGTAAATTCAGCCTGTTTTGCAAGGATTTTGAGGATAAAAGAGTTATTGGGCCAGGTCCCAAGATGACATGAGTCAATAAGCCATCAGGAATTACTGCAGCTCAGGATATATTTGTGACAGCCTTGGAAAGTGTGTTGTGCTGCCAGAAGGCAGAGGCTGTGCCTGCTGTCCCAGAGGAGAGAGCAGATCAGAAGAACCCTCCTGTGCCCTGTCCACATCTGTAGGATTTGCTGATTGAGAAGTACCACCAGCCCTCATGCCCTCTGTTTTCTTCAGATCTCCAGGGGACTGTGTACATCTCCAAGTCCAGGAGCAAGGGGAGACCAGCCATCTACAGATTCTCACTCAATGCCAGTGTCCCTGCGCCCTGGCAGACGGTGTCACCGGGAGACGGGGAGGTGCCTTCATTCCAGGTGAGTCAGTCCAGGAGGTTGGACCCCTCTACCAAGAGTGCAGCACTCAGCAGGTGAGCACAAGAGCCTCCTCCTGTCTCTCATGGGGGTCCTAGGTAGCTCTGGGTGACACTGGCAGTAAGGTAGTTAGAAAGGCATTGTGCCTGGCATTGTTAAAGATTATGCCTTGTAGTGCCACAATACTCCCCTGTCGCTGTTGTGATGTGGCTGTCAGCAATGGAAGCAGAAGTGTGGGTGTCACTGAGCCATTCAGCCCAGGCCACTGGGATTTGGGGTGCTGAGGGGCCCCATCACACGCTGGCCAAGCCTGGGAAGGGGAGGGCCGGGGGGTGGCTGGGGTCATGCCTGCAGTGCTCATCTGTGTGGCTGTGCCAGTGCTCAGGGAGGAGGGGAGTGTGTGATGCTAATGTGCAACAGGCTGCAACCCTGTGGAGTTAAGTGTCTGTTTTCATTAATCCATTGCTTAGGTGTATAGAGTGCCTTTCGGTAACTTCACCAGGAAGCTGACAGCTTGTGTGTCCACAGTAGGGCTGCTTAAGCAGACGAGCCCCAGGAAGTGGATGATGACCACCTTGTCCTGTGACACCAAGAGGGGCTGGAAGTTCGACTTCAGCTTCTACGTGGCCTCCAAGGAGCAGCAGCGAACACGGTAAGCTTCCAAACCCCCTCCTGGCCAGGCAGCAGAGACAGCACAGCTGAGAGGCTGATCCTAATGCCCAGTGCCAGTCCTGCTCTCAGTCGGTGACATCTGTGACCCCAGAACTTGCTTTGCTGCACATGTGCCCCATCTCTGCAGTCATTCTGCAGGCCCATAGCATCACCAACATGCCAAAGGCCTCACAGGGGCAGGGCTGTGACTGGGGATTTTGTTGGGTGGCAAAAAGACGTTGCTGATCTTGTTCTTGTCCTTGCCCACCTGAACTCTTGGGCTGCATGGGCAGCACACAATATGCAATGGCTAGGGATCCAGGCCTGGAGATGCTCACCTTTCCCTTTCCTTCTGCCCCTGAGAACGCCTGTTTCCACGTAATGCTTTGGCAAATCATTCTCACTACCTCTGGTCCCCCTTAACAAACTTTCTTTGCTGCACAGGAAGCTGTACTTTGCTCAGTCGCACAAGCCCCCCTACCACGGCCGAGTGTGTGTGGCACCCCCGGGCTGCCTGCTCAGCTCGAGCCCGGATGGACCCACCAAAGGCATCCTGTACGTTCCCAGTGAGAAAGGTGAGCTGATGATTCCCTCCTGGCTGTCAGATCCAGGGAGTCGGAGCTCTCTGGCCATCTAACGTAACCAACCTTTCCTTGTGTTTGGCAGCAGCAGCACCCAGGGCGAAGCCATCAGCCACGTCCGGGTTTAACCCGTGCATGAACACGGGCTGTGGGAAGCCGGCGGTGCGGCCGCTGGTGGACACGGGAGCCATGGTGTTCGTGGTGTTCGGGATCAGGGGCGTCAACCGCACGAGGCGCCCGGACAACCACGTCATCGGAGACATGGTACACACAGCCCGGGGGGTGGGACAGCCCCTCTGGGTGGGGTCTAGTTAATCCTCACAGCCCAGGCAGGTAGCCCAGCCATCCAGACAGGTGGAGGAGCAGAGTTGGCAGCGCTGTGATGAGCCAAAAGTACACTTCTGTTCTAGCAAATTGACAAATAATGGAGGTCAAGAAGCCCTTACTGAAAACACCTCGGACTTTCCAGAAAATCTCTTTGAGTGCAATATATAACCTTCTAATTTTGAGTCGAAATCTGGCTTTCCTGAGGACTTTAGAAATAAACCCATCTTGAGCTCAGTATGAAATCTCACCTCAAATTCAAGACTGAGGGAACTGGTGTTTTTCTATAATTGTTTATCTTGCTATGAGATACTAATGTGAAAGAATAAAAATAAATTACTCTAGAGAACAGTTACTAAATGTGACTTTTCTTGGAACAGCTTTATCTCCCAGATCTGATATCTTGACACATTCACAGCCTTTCCCCAGGAAAATTATGCTTAGCTCTTGTCCCTTGGCTGATGCACTTCAGCTTTCTGCTGTTCTTTCTGCCCTCTGATTTGGGGGCACTGTGCAGAATCAGCCTTTGCCTGTTCCCTTTGGAAAGGGCAGTGAGAAATGTAGGCAGTGGGATGGGCAGAAAGGTGGAGTTTTGTGCTGGGCACTTCTAGGGATTCAGAGCTGCTGCTTAGGCAGACCCTAATGGCTTTGGGCATGGCATGGGGGCTGTTCATTTATGTGTTTCTGTTGTACTGCCTGACTTTTGTGGGGTGGGCAGGACATGTAGCTTCTTCCGGGGTTATCTGGTAAGGCAAAGATGTCTGGTGGGTTTCCTGTGGTCTGTGCAAGCTGGGCCCAGGCTGTGTAGCCAGGAGAGGACTCGGTTTCTGCCTCCTCGTGCCAGTGGCTGTGTGTGTGCCTCACGTGTGGTGCTCCTGTTGTTGTGTCTCCTTGTGAAAGGGCAGCGTTATCTACGATGACAGCTTCGACCTCTTCAAAGAGATTGGCAACCTGTGCCGCCTCTGCAAAGCCATCGCCAGCAACGAGGAGCTGGTGAAGCCTGGAGGGGCTCAGTGCCTGCCCTCGGGTAGGTTGGACTAACTCCTGCCTGCAGCAGGGCTTGCTTGAGCTGAGCTCCTCAACTGCAAACCACAGAGGGTGGCTGCTGCTTGCTGCCTCCTTTTCTTCCCAAGGCAGCTTGGCCCTTCTAGAACATGCCCTTGGTTGTGCTTTTGGGGACATGAGAAAGAAAAACGGCCTCTTTGACGCCAAAGACACCGCAAAGGCGTGTTCTTTGGGATTTAATCCAGGCAGATAAGAACAGAATTGCATCTGTTCTTTCCAGTCATGGGTATTGCTTGTGATACGCTTTAATCTTTCAAATCAGTAAATATCTTCTTGGTAGCTCCTGAGTAACCATCAAATCACACCTGATCTCACTGCAGTGAGGTTACTGTGTCTATGGCTTTGCATACCTGACCAATGCCCAGATTTCCCAACTTAAAGAGGTCACCAGGTTGTGGAGCTGAGCCTAGGAAGTGCATGTTGGCTTCAGGCCAAAAGCCAATCTCATGTCTGGAAAAAAATCCCTGCAGACAGCCCTCAGCACTTGCTGTTTGTGCTGCTTCCTGACAGCTGGGGACAGACAGCAGTGGCAGTGTCCTGTCCCGTGCTGATAGCATGGAATGTCCCTTCAAAATACAGCAGCTGAGGGCTCTGATGCTGAGACCTCCAGGGCTTTGGCAAACCAGAGTGGCAAGGGGAAGCAACAGCTGACAAATGGGGCCTGCAGCTTCCTCTTGGGGTTCTCTTTTTGGGTTGCTGGTTGTGGGTTTTGGTTTGGTGGGTTTTGGTTTTGTTTTTTTTTATCCCCCTGCTCCAGTGTGCTTCCATTCCCTGTGCTGCTCTCCATCCCTTGCTCTTTCTTTCTCTCCAGGTTACAGCATCTCCTCCTTTCTGCAGATGTTGCACCCTGAGTGCAAGAACATCCCAGAGCCAAACCTGCTGCCTGGACAGCTCTCTCATGGGGCAGTGGGGGTGAAGGATGGGAAGGTGCAGTGGATCTCCATGGCATTTGAATCGGTGAGCACATGGCATCGCCATCTGTCCTGGTGACAGTTTATTCTTGTGACTTCTGGGGGTTTAGCTCTGCTCTTTCTGCACTGGCCACTTTCATTTGCAGCCATAACTTAGAGTTTATCAGTGTCTGTGCCTTGTTGCAGACAGATACCTGCACTCACAAGTTGTAAGAAGTGGCTGTTTGTGCCACAGTTGGCTCAGGCAAAAAGCTGGTGGCAGATTTGCGCAGATGCCACTGCCAGTTCTGCCTGGTGCTGCCAACTCCAGCTGGCTTGTTCTGCCTCCCCCCTTGCCACACAAGAAGAGCAGGGCACCAGTAACAAGTTCTTCTTGTTACAGACAACCTACAAGGGGAAGTCATCCTTCCAGACCTATGCTGACTACCTGAAATGGGAGACATTCCTGCAGCAGCAACTCCAGCTCTTCCCAGAGGGCTCTGCTCTCCGGCACGGCTTCCAGACCTGTGAGCACTGGAAGCAGATTTTCATGGAGATTATAGGCAAGTGACTGCCATGTTTCTCTCCTTGGGAACCCACTCTCTGATACATCTTCATAGCACACTCTGTCCCATCTGGTGGGCCTGGGTTATATCTTCAGTCTCTTGCCATTGCTGTGCAAAATCCTAAAGCCTGTTCCTGCCCCAAGCAATGTGTACTGTCAAAATCCTAGTCAGAGCCCAGGAAAATCAGTCCTGCTGATGTGAGATCCAAGAAGCTGATAACCTTCTTTCCACTCTCATTCTCTCCCCCCCATCTCCCCCAGTGTGAGTCCCTTGCCAGCAGGGACATGGTGCCTTTCTCATGCAGCTGTCACCTTCCAGGATCCAAACAGCTGTCTCTTCTCTTCCAGGAGTGCAGAGTGCCCTGTATGGTCTTGTCCTCTCTCTGGTCATCTGTGTGGCTGCAGTGGCCGTGTTCACCACACACATCCTCCTCCTGCTGCCAGTGCTGCTCAGCATCTTAGGTAAAAATGCCAATTCCAATGTGCCAGGCTTTCACTCAGTCTGCAGTTGGTGCGTTGTGGCACTGCTGAGTCTCAGGTGACTTGAAGTGAATTGTTCTTACGCTGTGTAAACCCCTCTGGCTTTCCAGGAGTCAGTCCTGGAGAATGGACTTGCTAAGTGAACAGAAGAAACTCTCAACAAATGCACAGGGACCTCATTGGGAAAGTAGATTTGTGTGCCTAATTCCCAGTGTGTTTTATCTACACAATCCCTTCTATTTGTTTAAATAAGGGTTTTAGCTACACAAATGCCATCCCTGCCTGTTATGTATAATAATGTGATTAAGTCCCACATGCTTTGAATAACAATTGCATTACTTCCCAAGAATCTGCACCATGGCTGCTGTTTCCAAGCAGTGGGAGATGTTAAAAGCTGAATATTTTAGTAGTTTTGTTAGTATTTGAAGCAAATTTGTAAATAGTTCCCTCTCCCTGACTGGTGATTTGGCGACATTGTGGTCTAAGTGTGTTGCTAAACTTCTCAGTTTAAAAATCAAATCTATCATTTTGAAACCACTTACTCTCCCACACATGACTCACAAACAAACACCATTCTTGCCTTTAAAAAAGTAACAGTGTGTGTAACTCCAGCAAGCAAAACAAGGGGCTCACTTCCCTGTAGTGCCTGTGCACACACATGCCTGCCTGGGCTTGGATTCATTTAGCAAGAATTAGTCTAGATTGGCATCAGTCTGATTTATCTGGGTGCTCCACTAGCCCCAGCAGGTCTGATTGCCTTATGGAATGGTCCCTGTGGCAAGGGAAGGTGAGGGAAGTGTTTTCCTCTGTAGCAGGAGTGTGTACAGGACTCTGGCCGGCATGCAGACCTGAGGGATACAATCCCAAACTCCCTGGGGATTGACTGGTATCAGTGGGCCTGGCCAGCAGTCCTGGAGTCCTTGACATTTGCCTGACATCACCTTCTTCACACAGGGGTCGTCTGCTTGGTGGTGACCATCATGTACTGGTCTGGCTGGGAAATGGGAGCTGTGGAGGCCATTTCCCTCTCCATCCTCGTTGGCTCCTCTGTGGATTACTGTGTGCACTTGGTGGAGGGCTACCTGCTGGCAGGGGAGAACCTGCCACTGCACCAGGCAGAGGTGAGTTCTGCTCTTCCTAGAGCCTTGCCTTGGTTCCTCTTGTGCCCTCTGTGCCACTTGCCTGGGATGCAGGACCCACCACAGGCAAGGGGGGACATGTCCCACCACCCTCACAGCACCCTGAGGGTGTTTGCTGCTTGTCCAGCCGACTGCTCAGACTGTGAGATTGTGTGCCTGAGTACAGTAAACCCAGCTGAGGGTCCCTTTCTTGCTGGCCACAGCTGTGCCCAAAGCAACCCCTTTTCACGTCCAAGTGAAGACAGTCTGTGCTGGAACAGCCCTACACTCCTCCTATAACCTCTGCAAATTGCTGTGCTGTGCTGGACCTCCAGCTTTTTTATGGCCTCCTTAACAGCTTTGTCTTTTTGGGAAGATGGAGACCACACAAAACCTTGGGATCCCTGATGCCAGGTCCCATGCTTGCACACAGCACCTGTGTCGTGCAGGCCCAGCAATCAGCCTGACGTGGTGCAAAGGAGGCACAAAATCCAACAGGCTTTGCTGGATTGTTGACAAACAACCCTGTGGCTGTTTGTCCAGTGGGCTCAGAGACTGAATGAACTGTCCAAGGTGTGCTTTGTCATGGACTGGGATTTCACAAGCTAAGCCACCTCTACAACTCTCTGACAGGATGGGGGAACCAGGCAGGGGTTGGGCTTTTCTCCCAGGGAACCAGCAGTAGGACAAGAGGGCACAGTCTTAAGCTGCACCAGGGGAGGTTTAGGTTGGACATTAAGAAGAAATTCTTTACAGAGAGAGTGATCTGACACTGGAATGGGCTGCCCAGGGAGGTGGTGGAGTCACCATCCCTGGAGGCGTTTAAGCAGAGCCTGGATGTGGCACTTGGTGTTGGTGCCGTGGTCGAGTTGACAAGGCGGCGTCGGGTCAAAGGTTGGACTCGATGACCTCAGAGGTCTTTTCCAGCCCAGCTGACCCTGTGATTCAAAGCCTAAGCTGTGAGTGCAGCCCCGTGTTGCTGTGCCCTCACCCCACTCTCCCTCCCCCAGGACCCCCGGGCGTGCCGGCAGTGGAGGACCGTGGAGGCCGTGCGGCACGTGGGGGTGGCCATCGTGTCCAGCGCCGTCACCACCGTCATCGCCACCGTCCCGCTCTTCTTCTGCATCATCGCCCCCTTCGCCAAGTTCGGGAAGATCGTGGCCCTCAACACGGGGGTGTCCATCGTGTACACGCTGACTGTGAGCACGGCCCTGCTCAGCATCATGGGCCCCGGCACCTTCACCCGCAGCAGGACTTCCTGCCTCAAGGCCGTGCTGGGGGTGCTCCTGGCCGGCCTGCTGGGCCTCTGCGTCTGCCTCGCCCTGCTCAAGAGCGGGTTTAAGATCCCTCTCCCCAACGGGACAGCCCTGTAGAACCCAGGCCGGGAGCCTCTGTCCTCTTGCTCTCCCTTTCTTTTTTTCTTTTCTTTTTAAAGGATATTTTTTGTAAAGAAAACAAAAGAGGAAAAAAATCCCCTTTTTTTCCCGGAAGTTTTTCAACTCCAGATGCACTTTATTTTCTAATGAGTTTTGCTCTAAACTTGTATTTATTTTGGGTAGTGACGGATGGATGACGGACAGTGAGGGCTGCCCAGGGAATACCTCAGCCCGTGAGTAGGAGGGGAAGAGGTCTCCTTCTCTCAGTTTTCTTTCTGCTTTTCTTTTCTTTTTTTCTTATCTTCTTCTTTTAAATTTCTTTTTTTTTTTTTTTTTAGCCAACAGAGCTTTCTGGAACCGCAAAGCTAAAAGGGGAGAAGTTGGGAAGGCCATCTGATCCTTTAAAAAACACTTCCCTCTGTCTCTTCCCTCCCCTTGTCCAGGGTCAGCATTGCAACGATGGCTCTTGAGGTGATGTCCTACCCCCACTCCAAGCCTGTGCCTCTCTACCTGAGCCTTCAAGAACAGCAGTGAGCTGTTGGAAAGGCCTGGAGAACAGCATTATCTGGTCCTTTACCTGTACTCAAGCCAGACCAGCAGTGAACTCACTGCACAGGAGCTCTCATGGGTGTCATTGTGGGATCCAGATTAGAGGTGCTGGGTGGCACCACCTTCTTTCATCATTCAGGGAGGGCGTTGGGACACATGGCTTTCCCCTTCTTTCTGAGGGGGCAGAGCACCTTTTGCTGGAGTCTCTTGGGTCTGTGAACAGCCATCAAAAGCCTGCCCTCCCCTCCTTCCTCTCAGTAGTGAGGCCAAGGCAACATCAATGCCCAGTCCCTCCTGGTCACCTCACCAGTCACTGCCTCTGCCCTTCATGGTGGAGAGGAAACAGCCCTTTGGTCACTGCAGTCAGCTCTTACTCTGAGGACCAGGAAACCCCTGGGTTACCCAGGTGGAGCCCATACCTGGTGCCATGCACAGCATCCTCTGCACAGGAGGTGCCATGCACAGCATCCTCCTGTGTGGGGACACGAGGGCAGAGGAGCTGCAGCTGCCGCCTGCTCCGAGCAGATGGTTTATATTAAAGTAAAATGAAATCGCAAACTGGTGCCATTAACAAGTACATTTTAAGCATCACTGGTTCTATCATATTTTAAAAATTGAAATAGCTAAGTGTGCATTGATATGCAGCACAGCTGGTCCTCAGCAGAAGGGAAGGGTCGGGCCCACAGGGAGATACATTAACCATTATCTACAGGGATATAGAGGGACGTGGCCAGGAAGGAGCCTGACTCCATTTCTTTGCAGATTCCATGTCCCTGGTGGCTTTGTGTTCTCTGTCTGGATCAAACCCCCTTTCTAAGATGGAATTTCCAGGAAGCCCATTTCCAGCCAAGTTTTGGGGCCTGTGCTGCTTGAGAGACCAGCAGCTGCTTCTGCTTGGCTCAGTGCATCCCTGCTCTGATCCCTCTTACACCTTCACATCATGTCACCTCTGGGGAACTGGGTCAAATGCCTGTTTCTAAAGTAGGTTCCCCAAGGCGTCAGCTGGAGAGAGGAGTGACAGGACAGGACTTTTGTTGATTCCAGGGGGAAGCCAGAGATTGCCAGAGCAATCCTGCTGCAGGCAGTGAGGTTGGTGAGAGCGTGAGCAGAGCACACCTGGTTTCTCCTCACTATCCCATGTGCAGCTGAGTCACCCCTTTCTGCAAAGTGTTAAATGTTCCCTGGCACCTACCTCTGATCTGCACCAGCTCCTGCATAATGAACCCCGTGCCCATGAATAAATGGTTCTGGGAAGGATTTTCAACTGTGCTTAAGCTGTGCTGCTTTGATGGCTGCTGTGCACAGTCCAACCCAATCCTTGACCTGTAAGCCATGCTTTTCCCTACATCTGGGCTCCAGGTTTAACTCCTGGTGGTGCCCTGAGCACTCCTGAGTGGCAGTGAGCAGAGAGGGCAGGGTGCTGATGATACACAGCCCCCTGGGACATGTGTGGCTGTGCAGGTGCTGCAGGGGAGAGCGAGGTAGCCCTGCTGCTGCTGCCAAAGATGCTCTGGCTGGTGACCTGACCTGAACTTGGCAAAGACTTCAACCTCATTGGGGTGATTAAAGCTGCTGGATATTTCCAGGTCACCAGAGAAGAGAATAAGGTGCTGAGGGCACCCTTAGAGGAAGTTTCTCCTTCAGTGAGCCTGAGGAAACTTGAAAGGCCTTTAGGACAAGGCATAGATGTGCTTTGAATCCTGCAAAGTTGAAAGCCCATTTCAGCCCCTGGTGTCCCACATTTATGCTCACTATAAAGAGGCTACATAAGCCCCCCACCTCCAGCAGGACTCTGGACACACCATGCTGGGAACATTCACTCAGCCACTCTTGGAAGGCAAAGATTAATTTCAAAGTAGTGGGAAACCTTTTATGTCTCCTGGGTCTGATCTGGCAGTGTCTGATCTGCAGACGAAAATAACAGAGTTCTTGGTACATGACAAGATCCATCCTGTTTTCTGGAGCAGGCAGGGAAAAGGACAAGCTCTGATTTTGCCTCCTATTCTCTGGCCAGCCCAGCTCCCTCCATGCAGAAGGGCTGGCTGGCACTGGCAGGAGCAGGGCATCACCTTGCCCTTGACTGTTCAAGGTAATACTGGGAAAGCAATGGCTGGAATTACTCAGAAAGGAGCAGGAGACACCAAGATAAGTGCAGAGCTGCAGCAGATGGTTCACCAAGGCATACTGAGGAGGTTGTGCCTCCCCAGCAAGGAAACTGAGGCAAGGAGAGGAAGAGGAGCTTACACCAGGTTGTAGCAGGATGGCAGAAAAGTCAGGAGATAATCTTAGGTGACGTTTTTCACTGCAAGGACTCATTGGATGTTGGTAGTGACTAAACACAGTCATGACACTTGTCTTAAGATCTAACCAGTCATTTGCCCCATCACCACTTCCCTCTGCACACCTCTGTGGTCAGGGTGGCTGGTGCTTTCTCCACGTGCAGTGGAGTGAAAGAGGCTTAGAGGTGGGGCCCACTTACAACATCCAGATCTTCCCAAGCATCTGTGGAGACAATAAATCAGGAGCAGATGTATACATCCATTTCCACGTAGGCAGTGTCCTCCCTGTGATTACAAAATATCCATAAAATTATAGAGGTAAGAAAAGGGATGGCTTTATCTGAGCAAATGTGGAGGTGGGACTGACAGCCCTGCTGGGAATTGGTGCTCTGAGGCAGATGCTTGTAGCAATAAAAAACAAGGCCTCATCTGTCTGGTACTGTTCCAGGAGCAGATGCTCAGCCTAAATCGATTCCTCCCACATTTCTGCCTATCTTCTTCCTCTGATGACTCCTCTGTTTCCCAGACCATCTCTTGGGCCCCCTTGTCTTGCTGAGCAAGGTTCAGTCTGCTCCGTGGTAGCAGCTCATGCCTGAGGTGCTCACAGAGTCTGGACTGAAAGTGGATGGAGAAGTCTCAGGGAAAATTTCTCAGACAGAGGAAGCCAGGGAGTTGAACTGCTTCACACAAACCTGCCAGTTTTGATGTTTTTAAACAGTAGAACACATCAGACCAGCCCTACTTGGAAGAGAGTGCTCTGATTTTCCATTTCAAAACAATCTTGCTGCAATTAAAAGGAACCATACGTGAGTTCTCAGTTAGAGCACATGGCAGGGGAATGTGCCTGTTAACTGCCCACTCCTTTATTTCTAGTAAATGGTGTTTTGAGGGTTAAGTTCTGAAAAGTTAATGTTTCAGGAGGGGGGTCAGTGCAGTCTCCTGCAGAACAGAGCAGGTCCTGTCCTGCCCAGGAGTTCTCTCCCCAGTGCTGAAGCTCCGTGACTCATGCACAGAGCTGGTGTGGCTGCTCTTTATCTTCAGTGGAGCTGCTGAGTGAGTTCAGGGCTCCTTGTGGCTGTGGACACTTGGGGAGAGAGTCCCTGCTCTCAACAGCCATGTCCACTTCAGCTTTGGAGCAAGGTGGAACAGAGCTGCTGTGATGTGCAAAGATCAGTGTCAGAAGAAGGAACTCCTCACTCTGTTTCTTTATGTTATGGTGCCTCTTGAGGGTTTGGGCAACTGGGCCATCAGGTTTGGCCACTGAACTCACCAACTGCCAAGGCTGCAGGTTCTGAAAGGGATCAGTGGCTGAGCTGGGCTGTGTTTCTCAATCCCTGCTGGATCTGAAACTGTGTCAGAGCAAAGGCAGCCTGAGAAATATCACGAAGGAGAAGGACACATGGCATGTTTAGAGAGCTACTGGGACCACTGACACAGTAGTCTGGATGCAATGGTTCTCCAGAGACCCTGGCTTTGTCTCTGCTGGAGCAAACTGGGATGTTGCTTTATGTCACAGTGTCTAATTCTTTTAGCTTGTCCTCCACTGAATTTTCATACCAGAGCAGCCTACCCTCCTGCAAGGTTACAAAAGGCCTTTTATTTAACCCCATGACACATATAAATCCTCCCACACTGTCCACTGTGCAGATTGATTTGCAGCCAGGGAAGACAAATTCACAGTCTCTTGGCTATTTCTTCTGAAATCACTGCTCACCCCAGATAGCACACAGGCCATAGTTCAGAGATTTTTCAAAGGCCTCTGCTAACTGCTCTGCCCTGGCTTAGCAGCCAGGGTCCCAGAACTAACAGGCTTTCAAGGCCTGTCTCCATCCTGAGGACAGAGTTGTTTGGCTTTCTCCTCTCCACTCCTCCTTTGGGCAGAGGATGGAAGGGGGGGGCAATGGCCAGGACTAGAGCAACAAGAGAATGAGCAGAAAGGTTTGCAGGGGCCAGCAGAACAAATGGGAGGGAGGATGGTCCAAAATCCAAGGGGAGAAGAGGTGTGAGCACCCCGAGGACAGAGGGAGGGAGGGCACTGCCGTTTCACCACGTCGTGTGCAGACCTTAGAGTGTCAGTCCTCAGAGTGATGTAGCACAATTCCTGATGTACGCGTGTTCCTTTTGTAAGTCGTCTCCTACCCTCACTATTTTCAGTGTTCCTTGATTTTTGGAGACTGTTGTAAATAAAAGATTTTGACATTCTCACGTTTGGATCCCTCACTCGTCCCCGCGTCGCCGTTCACGCAGTGACAGCCAGAGTGGCACTGGCAGGATCTGTGCTGGGTGTGAGGAAGGCAGTGGGAAAGAGGCCACAGAACCAGTTCCCAACAGGCACAAGATTGGCTGCTTCTACTGCTGAAATCGAGCCTCTGGAAGCCAATTTATCACATCCAGAAGAGCTGGCAGTCTGGAAAAGGCAGCTCAGGATCCCACGCAGGTCTGCAAGAGGACTGGATCAAGCAGGAGCATTAGCCAAGGTTTGTGGAGCCTTTTTACTCCTCCACTCCATGCTGTGCTTCTTCCAGAGCATGAAGATTGTCCTGTGCCGACTCCAAGAGAAGGGGATTCACCTGCCTGCTCCTGCAGCACTGCAGCTTCTCAAAGCACATCGTGCCTGGCACAAACTTCTGGTCGTGGTTTCTCTCTGTGCTGCAGCACCAAAGGGCTGTCCTGCACCTCCCAGGAGCCCTGCACCCCCTCGTTTGGATGTGCCCACAGGGCACCCAGGTACAACGCTGCTGGGAAGGACAGCACTGACAGCACAAACCTCCCTCGATTTCCAGCCCTCACATCTTCAGTGAGGCCAAAGTTTCTGGTGAAACCTCTGTTAATAAATACCAGGAAGGCTCAGATCAGTAACCACAGGAAGGAGGAATGTGTTCCCTTTAATGAGAAGTTGGAGGTTGCCAGTAGGGGAGGGTTTATGCTCAACCTTGCCATTGGGAAATCACCAGGAAAGACTGGAAGGGGGTTGGTTTTGGCTACGAATTCACCCTTTGCCCCAAGAGCAGGTGTGACAGGCACTGCCTGGCACACGGGCAGGGAGCTGTGTGCAGGCTGTGGACCACAGAGGAGGCACAGGTTTCCCTTTGCAGGACTGAAGGACCACCTGGTGAGTGCCCAGGTCTGCCAAATGTGGGGATGGAGGCACAGGAAAGGGGTGGGACAGCTGCAGGCACAGGCAGAGATGGACAGTTTCCATGGCTCCTCAGAAAACGGCTGCTGGGCTGAGGAAGGGTTTGGGACAGGGGAAGGGGCTGGGAGGAGGGATTACACAGGGTGACAGCTGCTTGCTATTCATTTCAAGCTGGCAGAGGAGGGAAGGAATTGTGTTTCCATCTGCAGGAGCCTGTCCATGCAGGCTGCTGGCTCAGCCCCCGTGCTAATGCTGATGGTCCACACTCCAAAACCTGCTGCCTGCCACTTGGCAGAGCCCCATCTCTCCCCCCAGGTGAGCGAGTCTGGTGTGAAGTCTTTATCACACACAGCAAATTCCCCTTGGTCTTCTGTCAGCCCCTGGCACAGCAAGGTCTCCATTACCTCCACAGCAGCATTTGAGGGCTCTCCCTGTGCTCCCTGTGCCCCTTCTCACACAGGCTCCTTCCCAAACCAAAACCAACCCCACTGCAGGTGGCTTAGCACAGAAACAGGGAGCTTTTTAAGCCTGACTCAGCCACGCTGATAGGAAAAAAGAAAGAAAAAAAATATTTTCGGATTTTTATTTATTTTTATTCCTTGGTGTTTTTCTCCCCCCTGCTGTGCTCGGTGCCTCCCCCTCTCTCTCAGACGGTGCCTACGAGGGCATTGCCCTGCATTGAGCTCGGCCCCCGGCTGGTTCCTGAGAGCCCCACATGGCTCGTTATCCATTTCTGAGTAGCTCAGGAACAGCCTGCCCGATCTGACAGCTGACACAGGGGTCAGTCAAAGAGGATGACTCACCCTCTTGCCTTCCCCGGTAATTTGTCACCCCGCAGATGACACATCTTAGTGGCTCCTCCAGAGCTCTGGCAGCCCCGTGGGGAGCAGTGCCTCGGGGATGCTCTTTTTTTATCCTTGTTGGCTGTTTATTCAGTTATTATGCGCTCCCCAGACCCTGAGGATGGTGATGAGCAAAAGCCAGAGAGGCTGGGTGCCAGGCTCTCCTTTCTGTAAGCCAGGGCAGGAGCTCAAGTGAGCCCAAAACAGTGGGTACTTGGGAAGTTTGTGGCTCATGTTTTTCTGTGTGTTGACCCACAATGCCTATTTCTTGTTGCCTTTTTTTTCCTCAAGTTAGAGCAAGTTTATTGACTGCAACAGGCAGGGACATGGAGCCTTGTAGCACCATGATGGGTGTTTTGACAGGGAGAAAAGCAGTGAAGGAGCCTGGATAGGAGTAAAGCCTGAAGTGGCTTGAGCTGGGGTGAGAAAAATTGCCAAAGACTTGGTTTCAACCCCAGATTTGAAGCAGAGAAGCTGCTTTGCTGGCTGGGGTTGTGTGTGTGGATTAACCTGGCAGTGTAAATCCAGCCATGGCTGGGCTGGAAGGCAGCAGCTGGCACCAGCCTCTGGTGGTGGGACAGGGAGGAGGCTAAATTAAATTACAAACACATTTCTACTGCCTGCCTGAATCACAGTCTGCCTTAAACATGAAAGGTTCTGCTTGTGGAAAAGGAGGTTGTGAGGCAGCAGTGAGGGGTGACTTTGGGCAGGAAGGAGGTGTGGACAGCCAAGAGGGGGTAAGTCTGAGAGGAAGGGCTGTGGTGCTGCTTTGGGTAGCCCATGTGAGAGCATGTGGGCAGGGAGGACAGGTCATGTCCTCTTCCAGTGGAAGACGTGCCAGCCTCGCAGTCCCAGGATGAGGGTGGGGGTGAGGACACCCAGTTGCTGAAGGGCTCAGCTGAAAAGTGGCACTGAGAGCATTGTGGCTTGCCTGGGTTTGGCAGGAAGACAAGCAGCTTGTGCTCTGCGTTGGGCTCATCCTATCCACAGGTGTGGGCACTGATGTCTCATTCACTGACACCAGGGAGCTCTGCAGCCTCCTGGGAGCGTGATGGGCGTTGGGTGATTAGGAACCTCCCATGTGAAATAAGGTGCTCTGAGATTATTTCTCTAACCAGGCTGAACCCCGGGAGTGGGGTAGGGCAAACTCAGGGTGAGCTTTTCAAACAGCTGTGCAGAGGTTGTTTGAGTGTGGAAAAAGTTTGCCTCGGCGTTGAGCACTGCCTGTCAGAACAGCTCCGTGCTCAGGGCAGAGATGAGAGGTACGAGCTGCCCCTTGGTGGCATTCAAGAGCATGATGAGTTTGCAGCCGCCTGCCACGGCTGCTCTGCTTCGCTTGAAGGGGTTTGTGTTTGATGGATAAGGTAGTTTTGTCACAGGAGGGTGAGGAGTGATGGTTCATTGCCTTGAGTGTCACCTGGACCCGTGGTTGTTTCCTAAATGAGAGGCAGCCCAAGAAGTGCTGCCTGTGGGATTTTCTTTCCAGCTCTTTGTTTGGAGAGGGGGAAGCTTCTCACAAGAGAAACTCCTTAAACTGCCAGACTGCTCAAGGGGAGGTAGGGGAGATGTGCTGCTTGGGTCACATTTGCTGCTTTTACCTGTTCTGTCTTTAGACTCAGTCTATGTCCTCTGGCACAGAGACACAGCACTGCTTGCAGACAGCTGAAACGGTCTGGGGGGCTGGCTGAATTCTGGGAAAGCTAGACCAGCTTTTTATTTTGCTTTCAAATGCTACTGAGCTAGCTCTGCACAGTGCTCCTATGTATGGTCTTTGGGGGTCAACTGCTGCAGAGGCTGGTGGCTGATTTTTTAAGTTTGTTTTTGTTTGTTTTTTTTTTTTTAACCCTTGCAGTCTTCCTGAGGGTTTTAGTTTGTCAGAAACATAGGTGTGAATAAGCAGACTTGCCCTCTACCCCCATTGTCGTGTATCTCTCAAAGGAGCTGCTGTAAGGGAGCCAAAGGACAAACCCAGGCTGTTGTGAATGCCTGGAATGACAGTGACGATAAACCAGGAGATGTCACGAGTGCTTTGCGTCTGTATGTCTTGAAGCTTTATTTTTCCTGATGTAAAAATGGAAGTGACATCTGTGTCTAATGTGTGAGGCTGTGACCTCAGTGAAATGTGCTGATGGATGCTGCTGGAAGGCTCCTGTGCATCATCCAGGGCTGCCCTGCAGAGGCTCTGCCCTTGCTGAGCTGGCTCTTGTGTAGCACCCTCGCCGTGTCCCAGGGCTCTTGGCACTGGGAATATGGGAAGGCTGCTGTTTCCTTGGGGCCTGGATTTTACATGGCCCCAAGGAGATGGGCCCTGGATTTTACATGGGGAGAGAAATCACACTCTGAACTGCCCCAGTGCACGTTTAGGCATCTGGTGTGGTGACAGATCTCACTCTCCAGTATGCAGTTACCATCTTCCAGCTGCTGCCAGAGGCTCAGGTTTGCTGGGCCTTTGCTGCTCTGGAGCTTTATGGCTGAGCAGCCTGGTGATGAACCCGAGAGAAGAGCATGCCTTAACCTGGAAAGCACAAAGGCCAGGTCAGAGACCCCCAACTAAGCACTAATTTTGTCCTCCACAGGTTATCACCGTGTGCTACCAGAGAAGACCCCCAGTGCTCTCCAGAAAGCCTCTCTGTCTGCTCTCCTGGGGCCGTTTCTAATAAAGCCAACTACAGAAAACCAGATTCAGCTTCCTCCAGATGCATGGAGACAAGTAAGTTTTTCCTCCAGCACTGCTGCTCTGAGCCCATTCCTTCGAGCTGAGAAAGCTCCTTACCCAGCTGACTCATAACAAACCCTCCCTGCCCACTCACAGCTGGATTTTGGGGATGCTCTGTGCTGATGGCTGTGCTGTGGCAGCTCCCAGCAGGGTTAACTGGATGCTGGGACAGCTCAGCAGGCAGAGCCACACTCCCTGTGCTGTGTTTGAAGGGGGCCAGTGGCTGCAGCCCTGGCCTGGAGCTGCTGCAAGAGCCTGGCTGGGGAAGGCGGATGGTGACCAGCCTCTCACCTCACGTGTGCTCGCAGCCTGTCCCATTTATTAGCAGTTAAAACTCGCTGTCTCTGCTCCAAACGGAGTGTTTACAGCATTGACGTGAACAGCTGTCCCAGTCAGCCAGATCATAACAAATGGGAGCTCTGGCTGGAGTGTTATTTTGCTGCAAGGGGGCAATACATCTTATTACTAAACAATGAAGCTGGTGATGGATGGTGACGAGTCACTTTGCTGTCTTGCTTGATGATCGCACTGAAAAATAAACATAGAACTGAGGCTGTTCACAGGGATCCAGGCAGGGCCTTGCACTGTACCTGGGAAGAGACAGCACTGAGGTTCTCTGGTGTCTTATCTGCAACAGCTTTCGCATCAGGCTATTGGTTATGCTCCCTCCTCTCTGGGAGGGGTGTGGTGGCTGGGGGAGAAATTTGAGGGGAGAGAGGGGAGGGTGGCTGGTCAAAAACATGGGGTGTAGCAAGAGCTAAGGACAACTGGTTTGTTCCCTGGGAGCACTGCAGAGACCTTGTCCTTGGTAACGTTGTCTCATTATGAGGCAGTGTGGGTTGCCCGGTGCTGTTCTGATCCAGCCAGGAGGGCTGTGCCACTGCGGGAGCTTACGGCTCGAAGCAGGGGGGGAGTGGGAACAAGGTACTGCAGAAGGCCATGGAGGAAAATGATGGTTTTGTGGGGATGAGGTCCTCCTGAGGGCCAGGCACGTCACCCTGCTGCTTCAAGTGACCTGCATGGAGGACTGTAAGCCACAGCCTCTCTGAGCAGAAAACTGGAACAAATGAAATGCTCATTTAGTGCCAGCACAAAATTGGAGGAATTCTGTTTGACGGACAGAGGTGGGTGAGTCTGATCAGCCCCCTCTGGGTCCCTGCAGCTGCAGCAGCCAAGCTCAAGCCTGTGCAGGTACATTACCCACAACTGCAGAGACTCTGCTGGGCTCTTGGACCGGGCTCAGCAGGAGCTGCAGAGGGGGGAGAGCTGCTGGCTGAGGGTGGGGTGTGACTCACTGATCTCTGCACGTACCTTCACCCACGCACCCTTCCCTGCTGCTTCCAAGAGCAGACAGCACAAGGACCTGGATTTTACGGCTCTCCCCCACCCTAAGGGTGTTTTCTTTTAAATGGGAGCTGTGAAATGATCAGAACAGGCGGTGCTGTGATTTCACTCCAGAATAAATACATTCGGAGCACAAGTGGGACAGGGAGAAGAGCCCCATGGGAAGCAGCATCTCCTCTGTTTGGGTGGTGGTGCAGGTGTGGCACAGCAGGGCTGACAGCAGTGAGGGCTGGGGCCCGTGTCTGAGTGGCACGGGCAGCGTTGGGAAACCAATTAAAGCTCATTTAAACTATTAGCATATCAGCAGGCAGGAATTCTTCCGACTGGATTGGTTTCACTAGGGGATTGGGGAATAGGGCCAGCGTTCATCTGGCAGCTCTTCTTTCAACACGCTCGTATTCATCACCTGCCCTGCCCGGGCATGGCTGGGATCTGCTGGAGGAGAGCAGCAGAGGGGCTTGGTGTGTCCCTGAGGAAGGGCATTCCCAGCATTTCACTGTGCAGCAGGAGCCGTGGTGATGAATGGCCGTGCAGGGATGAGCTCTCGGTTGGGAGCCCTGAAAACAAACAACAAAGCAGCTCTGTTTTGGTCTGTGTGTTTGTTGAGTAGATGAAGGACGGGGAAGCTTTTTAAAAATCCCAGTCCTCTTTTTCCCAACACATTCCCCAGGGTATATATTTATATTTAGTATCTACTTAGCAGAGGGGAGGGGAGGGCTGTCTGGGAACGGGGTTTGCTGAGAGAGGATGGGTTTGTAATCCAGACAGACTCAAAGACTAACTTAAATAGAGCATTAATGGAAGAGGGAAAGCTTTGAGACTGCAGCTTTCTATTTTGGCAAAAAAAAAAGGAGCTGTCTGTGCGTGCTGGCTGCTGCTGGAGTGCAGGGGGGCTGGTCCCTGCATGGAGCTTTCATTTCTGTGCACACAGGCGCTCTTGAGGGCATTCGTGCTGGCTGGGGGGATTTTGGGGTCAAGTCCTAAAGAGGTCAGGGGAAGAGAGTGAGTGGGGCTGGCTTACCCCACGTGTGTGCACCGTGGTGGAACGAGCAGTGATGCTGCCAGCTTTGGGGCTCCCTTGCCTTTCTCCAGACACAGCTGAAAGCAGCCTGGCCTGGTGGCCTGCAAGCCACCGCTGGACACATCTGGGAAAGACCCTGTGGCTTTGTCTTTCTTCCCAGGTGGAAACTGGGGCTCTGAAGCACTGCTGAGCAGTGCCTCTCCCTGCTGCCTGACTGTCTTCCTGCCGGCTCTGCTGAGCTCCCATTACCTCGCTCCTGTAACTGTCTTTTCCCTTAAAATTGTACTGAAATTGGAAAACCCAGTGCTGAAAGATTTGCTGGACATCAGACTGCAGCTGAAATCATTATGCTCCCTTCTTTTGTTCTTGTCAAGGTCACTGTGCATCTGGAGATTTTATTTCTGACTGTTCAGTAAAGATGAGTGCTGGGACCAAGCAATTCCTGTGCAGTGGATCCATGCCCAGGGACTGTCTGGGACCAAGCTGTGGGTTCCTCGGGTGTATTTGCTCTTTGGGTCACTCAAACCTCTGATTTCTTTGCACTGGTTATTTTTGTGGGTAAATATCAATATTTGAAAATTACAGCCCTGTTGCCTGGTTACCATGGGGTGGAGAAATCACATGGACTTGATTTCTGTGGGTGGCTGTGGATGGTGTGTGAGCAGTGCCCAAGCAGCTGTCTGGGGTAGGAAGGAAATTCAGGACCTGGAGAATGGCATGGGACATGAAGGATGCAGATCCAACTGGAGTCAGAGATTGAAACAGGAGTTAAGTGATGAGATACTTAACTTTTGTGGAGCTGGGTACATGGAATAACAAGAAAATAATCTGAAGAAGGTCTCTGCCCTCCTGCACTAGGAATAGGCAGGAAAAGTTAGTCTCCAATACCACCATATCAGCAAGGAAATCACACTGTGGTCCCTGGACACAGGCTCTGACAATCATTTCCTGCAAATGCTTTGGCCAGCGAGTCAGTCACTCAAATATTTGCTGAGAGGTGGGTTCCCAGCTCAGCCTGTGCCTGGCTGAGCCCTTGCCAAGGAGGCACGAGGATGATGGGAGAGGTGACCTGGGCTGCTGTTGGTTTCTGCACTCGGAGGAATTTTGCTTCTGAAAAATGCAAATGTGGTTGGAACCAATTTTGTTCATGAACGTGAACAGACACTCAAAGGACCTTTTTTTCAATCTCCCTATGACTTCTCCTTCTCTAATTGCTAGGATGAATGCATAAACCCTTATACTGAAGTGCTCACAAGAGCTGGTTTACTCATTTTACTCTTTTTCTTGGCATAAAAGTTGTCTTATTAAGCAGGTTTTAATGTTTGCTCACCAAGAGACATGGATTATAAAGCTTTAGGAATAACTTGCATCTGGAAAAGCCAATTAATAAAACAAAAATTCTGATGTCATTTTCTCATAAATTAACAATTTATAGGTAATTTACAGTGCTCATGTCATTAGGCAAATGGACTTTAAATTGATTTCAAATTAGTGGGTTAATGATTTCCCACAGGTGCCATTCCAAGGGGCAGCACTTGCAGGGTGTTTCTTTGGTGAAGGGGTAGGTGTGCAGGAGTAATTGAGGCAGTAATTGGAGTGGTGGTCACATTCACGTGCAGTATTGATCTGCAGAAAATGTGCTGACTGTCTCCATCACTGTGGCAAAGAGGGGGCAGGAAAGGACTCTGGGAAAGACTGCAGTCTTTGCATATTCCTCCCCTCATGACTTCCTTTTGGTACATGTTTAACTCCAGGTGGAACGTTAGGGAAGCCGATTGATTTGGTCTTGTTAAATAACCTTGGAGTTCATAGTGTTGGAAAAAGATATTCAGCCTAGCTCTAATTATAGTTGTAAGGGAGCAATATGTCCCCAGATTGATTAAAATTGGGGTGATGATTGCGTGGAATCCGAGCCCAGCCTGAGGAGGAGGTGCAGTGCTCCTGTCACTGCTGCACCGAGCAGGCTCTGTGCTGCAAGCCCAGCCCAGGAGCCAGAATCCAGCCTGGCCACCACTCTGGTGTCAGCTTCGTCTCTGTGGGACTTTTTTACTCCTTGTTTTTGGTTTTCTGTCACTTCATCGTGCCTGCAAAGGCTGTGAGTGCTTTAAGGGACAGCCCGACTGGCTCGTGTGTGTTGGCACAGGGAGCGAAGGTTGGAGCCCTGAGGTACCAGCAGAAGGTCAGGGACTGACAGCCCACCTTGGTCAGTGCTTGGTTGCCAGGAGGTCCAGACTGGTGTCATTTTGGAGCAACTCCACTGGCTTGGGTAGCATTTCTGGAGGCTTGTGCTGGCATTAATAATTTGATTGGGCTTTTTGTGTCGCTTCACCCAAATGCATGAGGCATAAGAAATGGTAATGAGCTCCCCCGAGGGATGAGGAGCTATCATCCCTACCCCACCTGAGTACCTGGGGTGAGGAGGGAAAGAGAGATGCCCACCTGAGGCCAGGAGAGGGAAGAAGGGGCTTCCCTCCCATGGCTGGGGTGCAGCTTTCCACAAGCCCCACGTCGTGCAGGTTTGGAGGCTGCGGAGGCAGGACGGTGCTGTGCAGAGAACACCATCCAAACTGGCACCACCCTGAGCAGTGCCCTGGGCATTGTCAGTCAGTGGCACAGCTGGGCAGGCAGG